ATTAATTTACATTTTAGAAATGTTTTACAACAGTTGATAAATTAATAACAAAACTTTAGCAACTAGGGAACTGTATGCTGCAAAAAGTTCTTAGTACTTTTACCTCTTTTCTTCTCTCTACATTCTATAGATACATCTTCATCCAAGTGTAACTTCTATTTACATGTAATGATAGTGTTTGATCTAAGTTATATCAGACTCTCAAATCTGACTGCTTTGTCTTGGATTTGAAAGGGGAGTAAATGGAACTAGAGAAATATGTTGACTTATTTTGCTCTTATCCTATTTTATCAAGATTTCTATACACAGGCAAAAGAGAAAAGAGTAAACATCTTCAAGTACTGAAGTTATTTTCCTTAGTTACTCTGGAATGATTACTCAACTAATTAAAACTAAAATTCTGTAATATATAACCCAGGGAATGTGCATTATTAGGTGTTTTAAAAGTACAATAAATAAATAACAAAAATGAGTGAAACATAGAACCTGTACATGCAATAAGAAATGTAATCACAACTTTATTTGGCAAATCAATATGTATATTTCTTTCATCTTAATCCAAATAATTCAGTTCCAAAGGTTGACTTGTCCACATTTTGCTGGGTTTTCACCAGGTACTGAAATGGATGTAATTGATATTTTTATCAATTTATGTACACAAGATACTCATCACTGTGAAGGTACAAAATATTTTTATTGTAGCAAAAAAGTTAAGTCAACAAAAATTGGCACCTTTGACAGCAATTGCAGCTGCAAGTTTTCTTGCATAAATCTCTATCAGCTTTGCACATCTGGATCCTACAGTGTTTGCCCATTCTTACTGGCAAAACATCTCCAGCCCTGCCAGGTTGGATGGGAGTTGTGGTTGAGCCTTATTGTTTCCATTTTATAATCATGGATTCAGCATAGCTGTGGGAGATGTCCATAGTGTTATTTGGGATTTTTAAAGTTGGTGCTTCTGCACAACATTATCCCAGAGTTGTTTTGATAGCTCCTTGACTTTCATTATGCTGTTTGTTTAGTCATGCTGTCCAACAAGCTCTGGGCCTTCCAGAAAGAGGTGTGCTTAATCCGAGGTCATGTAACTCTGGAATTGCAAAAGGTGCAGTCCATTCAGCTACTTACTGGAGCTTATTCAGGCCTGTCAAAGCGAAAGGCATGAATGCTTATGCAACAAACATGTTCCAGTTTGGTTTTATTTTTCTTCCTTTTGTGCCACAATACAGAATATTTCATTGTGCAATACTGTACATGTTTAGACAGAAGAAAGTCCTGGAACATTTAGCATTCCCTAAACAGTATGGCTGGTTGGGAGATACTGGGACTTGTAGGATTTTTTTTTCTATCTAAACATTCATTACTATTGTTTCCATAGAACCACAACCCATTTTGCTGCTCCCAATATCATAATTTTCTTCTTTGAAAACCAAAGGATACTTTCCCACATATAGTGCCATAGGCCAATAACTTAAAAGCTACAGCACAAGATTGCTTTGGCCCTGCTTCTTTGGTCAAGCTGGAGGCTTTATATTATCTATAGAAGTTGGAAAAAGCACAGACTCAGGCTGGTACCCAGGTGGACCTGCTTTTAATTAAGGTTCCCAGACAAACACTGCCCCAAAGCTGTAGCTAAATGTGATGAGTCTTTCATTCTCAGAATTGTAGCTGATTTCTTTTTGATTCCTTTTTAAAACCCACATCATATAGTTGATAACCCATATTTGTGCATTTGATATCATAGGCAATCATGCCCTCAGCCACCATGTGGTCCTTGTCAATCTCAAAGGGATCCAGAGGAGTATAGATCTATATATGTAGGGTTTCCTTTACAGGGATGGGAACCTTGGTTGATCAGAATTCCTGTCCCCATGGAGGAATACACCTCTCTTTGGACTGCTACGAATCACATATTAGCCACTTTGTACACTAGTATCCACAGATACTAAGTTTTTTTGCAGGGCTGGTTTTACCTACATATGATTCTCTTACAAACACTTAGGAAAAAACCAACAAACAATACGATCCACACTGGATTTAACCTGAGGTGTTTTAGTTTGAGATAGCTTCCGATGCATATCTCCCCAGAATTAAGCCCCATGCATTTAGCTGGGCTTTCATCAGTAAAATGTGTATAGGACTTGTCAGATACAGTTTAGACAGTAGGTGTCAACAACTGGAGCACTAGAACTAGGAATAATGGAAGTCTTAGCAAAAGGGCCAGAGGCAAAAGCAAAGGCAAGAAGCAGCAAGGGTCAAATATCCAGCAGGGCATGGCAGGTCCAAGGACAAAGACCGAGCCAGAAGCAAGTGAGATTTGGTACTAGCAAGGCATGCAGGTTCAGAAAAAAGGCAAGGTGAGAACTAGACAAGGATCAGCTCAACCACAGGTTAGAGCTCATGATCAAGCCTACCTCGTGGCAATGAAGAAGGCAAAATGACCAGTACTTCATTGCATCTGCACAGTGCCATCTGACTGAGCTTTTCTCAATGGCTCAAGGGCTGTTACAATCTGGCCCATTGGTAGAAAGCACCAAACCCTTGGTAGCTCCTTGTGATGAATTTGCTTAGCACTTCACAGATGAAATTGCTCCATATACTCTTCAGCACCAGAGGAGATGCTGCGAGAAGGCAATCGTTTGGTACCTGAACAGCATCTAATTTCTTATTTTAAACAAAGTACCTATACTCCCTTTTCTTATTACATTCACAGTTCAAGGAGAGCAGCTGGAGGAGAAGAGGGAAGCCCAACAATTACCTGGGACTGTTGGTTCCTATCATAAAACGGAAGCCGCATGTGCATAACTCTAGATTGCTGAGAAAACATTATTGGGCTTTCACAATTGCAAAGGTTTCCTATACTCATTTCCTCTAGATGTTCTTGTTTGATGTAGAGATATCCAGTATGAAATTAGTTCCAGAGAAGTATTGCTGTTGCTTACATGGGTAATTTTTTTTTCACCTGCTATGTTTCAAGGTATGAGATGGGCCGTTCACAGTGGTGTTGCTATACTTTTCTGGATCATCGTGTTGGCACCCCAGTCACAGGCACAATGTAAGTTGAGTTTTGAAGTACTGCTGAAGTTTGCTCAGCAGAAGTGACATGATTAAAACCATGTGGTCATTTCTTGCTTGCAAGAAAAGTACAGAGGCTTGAATAAAAGTTAGTGCTGAGTCTACCTTCAGGCTCTTTCACAACTATAAGTTTAGACTGCCTGTAAAATAAAACTTATTTCAAACTGAGCAAGGTTTTTGTACCATTAAATATTAGAAGTAAAAGGAATAATTTTAAGCATAATACAGAGAAAGCAAGATTTAAGCTGCTTAATACAGTATATGACAACTTTCTATGTTAGTGTATTTTTAGATCTTTGCAGTACTGTTTGCTTTAATCTTAGATAGCACTATAGCTTTTTCTGTGTGGTTTTTATATTTAGTTTTACTATTACATTGTTTTTCATGCTTTTAAGCTTTGGCTTGTAAATTGCCCTAAGATTTTTGGGTAATGCTTGGTACAGAAAACAAAAAAAACCCAAACTTTTTGGAGAGAACTTGGTAGTAACACATCGTGGTGATTTGATTAAAATGGCACCTGTAACAAGTAATCAATATATTAAGAGACATTAAAGTGTATTCTTATTCACTTGCTCTGCTGCTGCTGTTCTTTAAACTCTAAATTACATTGAGAGTTTAAAGATTTCATCATATTTAAATTTGACACAACAGAAGCTCCACTTGATTTCATTGGGTCTACTCTAAATATGGCCAAGCCTGGATCAAATCAAATTGTTTATAACTGGAAGACACTGGTAAAATTTAAAAAAAAATTCTTATGGGAAGAAAACTTCTGTAAAGGCATGGATTATGACTGTAAAGTCATAATTTTTAATTCCTTATATATTTTAAAGGTTTATGCCCTGTCTCTCAATCACTTGATGATTTATGCATCTCAGAAGAAAACAGTAAGTAAAACCCAAACATTCACATATATGTAACCCTTTCTTTTCTACAGTCCAAGGAAACTGGCAGGTTTTTTTTCTGGCAAGGAGCAGGGAAGCAAATTCCCATCAACTACATCATTTCTGGATGAAGAATTTGCCATCACATTCTTCTTGGGAGGCAGAGAGGACCAATCAAATACAAAAAAAAGTTCATGGAAGGAAAGTTTCCCACCTTCCTTACTCTTCTGCCCAGCCCCACCTCCCTGGGGCTTCAGAGGCCCTTCTGAACAGTGTAGGATGTGGAGAGATAAAATGCTGGAGTAGGAAAGAATACCTAGCATTGGATCCTATATAAGTGAAGAAGAAAAGTTTTGCCTCCCAGCCAGCTCAAGAGGACCCTGACCCACCAGCCAGGGCAGAGTGTAGGGGATGCACATGGCTTCATTGGAGATGGGGCAATGGAAAACTGTCCTTCAGCAAACTAACCTTCACTCACATCAGGATCATTAGAACAATTGCCTTTGAAGTCAGATGAGGTGTTAGGAAACTTCTAATGATGATCTCTGGTTTGTGAGAGCTCCTTCGAATGCACGTCACTTGTCCACTCTGCTGTCATCAAGAGAGGAATATGAGTGTGTTATAGAATCCTTTTCACATGGCATTTAAATGAAAAGGAATCTTAGGTGTGTGCAAGCTTTCCTGTATATGAACTTGGGCTTCTTTGGCCATTTTTCAGACCCAGAACCTTATGCTACACTGACATCCTTGCCCAAAGTTACCCTGTCTTTGGAAGTGGCAGGTCAAATGGCATGACTGTGCAATTGGAAAGGAAGCCTCCAGAATTTTGCTGAATCCATGGGTAACACTCTAACGCCCCTAGAATTCAGTCCGAGAATTGGGTCTTGTTGTGTACTTCCATGCACTGAACTTTAGATTTTGAAAATGCCTGACATTTTAGTAGTGAGGCATGTCACAGGAATGTAGAGTATTAGAAAATCTGAATGGGATGAGACAGATAATATTTTGTTTTTCATTTGCAATGTTTTCTTTTTCATGGCAAAGATTCAGATTCTTGCATAAATTACACAATTAAATATTTCGAAGATGAAAGTATGGAGATCTTCTGGGATGTTAGAGAAAAATTTCCTGACATGAATGTGACAATGTTTTATAAGTAAGTACTGGTAACTGGATTTTCTCTGAGGTCCTAAATTTACATGCTGATGATTCCTTAAAATGGCAGGGGAATACTATTCCGAACAAATGTGGTCTTAGCATTTGCTCCTTCCTTCCCCATTGCTCTGTTTATCAAGAAGTAATTAAACTCTGAGATAGAAAAGTGTTCTTTTACTTTCTGATCTGCAACTCAAAACTGTTGAATGCAGGCTTAGGTAATATACAGCTTTTGAATATGTACACATTCACTGTCAGTTCCACATTATATATGGGATACACATACGATTTTTATATTTGTCTTAAATTCAAGAATGGAGAAATTAAGACTATAACTTTAAACTATAAAAATCAGAAATGAGAAACTCAAATTCACATATTCATCAAACCCTAAGCAAGGATGCCCTGAGCAGCAACAGTTGGTATGGATTTTAGCTTGTTCTATCTTGTTAATGCTGCCTTTGCTTGTACTTACGTATTTAGTCTTAATTATTTCATTGTACTGCATTAATACTAAGCTTACTGAATTGTTTATTTCAGTTTTATTTGAACTTTTTAATAAAGTGGAGTTTTTCCCCAAATCTGATGTATTTTGATAAGTTGATGCTTATTTTGCTATAGATGTAGTCAGTATAAACCACCAACTAGACGACACTAAAAATTAAAGTTACACTTAACTAAGAGCAGTACTGAGTTGGAACAGTACTACTTGGAAACTTGGAAATTTACACATCTTCATTTGGCTTAATAAATTCTTGCAAAGCAAGAAAAATAGCATTCAGTAAGAAAGAAAAGATTGTATGGAGATGAAGAATACACATTGGAACTTGGGAGGAAGAGCAGTTTGCAGTACTTTCCTACATAATAATATAGATAGGGACATAATACAATGAACTGCTAAAAGGTATACATTGCTGTAGATGTCAAAGGGCATGAAGAGGCCCCAGCAGGAGAGAAATTCCATTTATTGTGTACAGGGATGGACATGGATTATCCCTAATCCTTCCCAAATGCCTAAGGTTGGTTCTAGATTTAATTATACTCAAAGTAAAACCATTGCAATCAAGTGATGTTAATCATGGCCAACTTAAGTCTCATTGTTTTCAATGGGTCTGTTTTCAGTATAGCTCAGCCTGGGTTCAGGTACCTGCTTTTAACAGAAGACAATTTTGTTACATTAATTACTATCACCATTTCAATTGCAGATTTGATGAAGAGGAATGGAAGCAGTGCCCCCAATATACGCTTCACCAAGGATACAACAGTGTGTGTCTCCTTCACACTGAAGGAGACAGGATTTTAATTTCCATCAGGGATACAAATGGAACAAAAGAGCTTTATTTCTCTGACCAAGAAAAATTTATGTTCTGTAAGTCATTATATAGTATCAGCCTAGTGTGGCTAATGGGGCAGGTTAGAAATCCAATAAATAAATAAACAAATAAATAAACATCTTTCTGAGAACTTAGTGTTCTCTTGCTAAGTAAAATGCAATGGGACTATTCAAAGCTTTTGAATCAAGTGAACCTCCCACATGTACAAGTGCCTGATCTTTTTTAGTACTTTCAGAAGCTGCTTCTTTCACTTGCTGCTGAATATTGGAAAATATTTATTTATTTTTTCTGATTTTATTGTTACTTTATTGATAGATTTTATATTGTGACTGTTTGAATGACTCATATTGTTTTATTTGTTGTTAAAATGTTATTTATTTGTGCTGTGTGCTGCCCAGAGAGCTTATGGCTAATGGGGCTGCATACAGGTCAAATAAATTTAATTAATCAATTAATTAATTGTATTTGGCTGTTGACAGTTTCCTCAGCTGAGGCCTTCACTTCCCCACGAGAAATCCTCATGTCATTGCATATGTGAAGCTTGCAAAAATACAATCAAGATGTCAACAGGTCTAAAATATTTTACAGCAAAATGTTGACACTGAATTATCTTCAACCAGTTACTTCTGACAGGGAGCAGACCTCTATGGAGAAAGCAGAATCCAGTGTATATTTGCTTGCACTGATGTGCTGAAATAATAGACGTTGTGGCCTGTTTGAGGCAGGAACTCCAGACACAAGACTCTGGATTGGGCTGAATATCTTCAAATGCATCCTTTAGTGTTTGTCTAGAAGTTGCTTCATTGTGGATGAGTGTGGTCCTTCCTCGGGTATCACCATTATATCTATCTATATATCTATTGATAGATAGATGCTATGCTGATTCAGGAGTATGGAATGCTGTATTGTACAAGATAAGTGAGTCTTGGACACTTGGACTAACAAGCAAGTGCATTGGTAGAATGAAGGAAGGGTTCTGACGAATTGTAACAAAATTGCCTACAATTATTAAGAGTGTAATCTTCTATATGATTTTATTTTCACCAGTCCAGCCCAACCCACCTGAACATGTATCCTTTCAGTGGACAGATGATGAAGTCACTGCAAAGTACAATCCACCTAAATTTGGGCAATGTTTGAAACTGGAGCTTCAATACAAAAGCAAATTTGATAAAGATTGGCAGGTGGGTACGTGGCAGATATTTCTTTTCCTTCTTACATATGGGAAGTGAAGATAGAAACTTGAAAAGGGTCTTTTTCATCTGTAGTGAAGTATTAAAAGGATTCTCTTCTGAGGAATTTTCCAAGATTTTACATTCATGTACATTTGATGAACCGCCTATTCGTATGCATATTCTTTTGATGTCAGCAGCACCCAAATAAGTTTTGTCATTCAAAATATTGTCCAAATGAAGGGTTCTATATGGCAAATGCCCAGCTCAAGCACAACTGTACCAATTTTATAGACTTATGTTGCTGACAAGACAAAAAATTTGGGGGGAGCAAGGAATCTCAGTTTGACCTCTATTGTATTATTGCACTATGATTGGCTTCATCTTTGTCCTCTTTAGATGGGATTCAGCCTGGGAATTGATTAGATGAGGCATAGGATGTGGGCTGTGCAGCATTTACCCCTGACTTGCATGTCTGTGAAGGGAGGAAGTGGGTTGCCTAAACTCCTATAAAGGGGATCAAACAATCATGAAGACTGGATGTCGCTTCTCCATATGTCTCTCTCAGCTTGAACCAGGGGATGCAGGCCTTACTGGATACTCCTGCAGCTTAGAAATGGGAGATGAATTTCTACATGGAAGTTATCTTAGGCCCCAGACTTTAAATTTTAGTCACAGCAATTCATCAAGAAGACTTTGGTTTAGTACTAAGGCTCAGAAGTTGGAGATGAAGTTTATTTATATAGGGGAAGAGAGGGGAAGTGATTAATGAAATAAAAATGTATACAGAATTGTATAACCTTTGGAAACAATACTTTTGGCAAAAAATACTTTTGAATTGCAGAGCAAGTAATGAAGTTACGAATAAGATACAAAAGTGTGGAAAAACATTTTCAATACTGGCAAAAGACATAAGCAATAAATACCCACCATAGACATGGACATTTTAAAGGCCTCTGGTGAATTAACTTGGCTACTACCATGTCCTATTAGGATAGCCTAGAAGAGAGGAAAATATGCATTCAGCAAAAGGATTAAAAACTAACTTTCTTGCCATTCAGCACAGGAAATGCTCAGGCTGGGAGATTAAAACTCAAGGGTTTGATCCAGCAATATGCTACTCCTTTCGATTCAGGCTGGAATTCATTTGTGGTGTTGCCTCTACTAGTGAATGGGGAGCAGAATCATTCTGGAAAAATGCCACTGCTCTAGGTAAACTATGTTATGATCAATCTTCTTGGTAACACCTTCTATTTCTAGATCATGTAAACATGCAGTAGTGTTCATGGTATACTACCTGCTGCTGATAATGTAGAAGAGTTGGCAAAGAGTCCCTGGTTTATGATCTATAATCACACAGTGAAGCGATGTGTGTGGGTGATTCTTCTATCTGAAATTCTCTAGCTATCTGAAATTCTGAGAAATGAATGAATCTCTTGTATGTATGAGTATGTTGAAGACTCAGACAAGGAAAGAGGGGTCCAGGAGATCAGTGTACCATTTGGTTGAACGTCTGCTTTCAGAGATAAAAGGAGAGAGGGCAGATTTAGAAAAGATGACTGGAAAAGGAGATGTAGAAATGATCAGCATTCCTGCTGGAGTTAGGAAGATCCTTTTAGCCCTGGTTTTGGCAGCAGCTTGTGGAGAAGTGGGGACATACATGGGAAATGATTCATTACAGAATGTTCTTCCTGGGGCTGCCAATAAGAGGTTAGTTTCTGTCAACTGCAGGCCGTTAACATGTGGACCACATTAGAAGTGTAACCTAGGAATGAGTTGGATTGCACACCTTCTTCACCCTAAGCCTACAACAAAGAATTCTATGATCCTTTCCTTGAAAGTAGGACAGCTCACACCTCAGTTGGGGAAACCCCTCCCTACTACAGTAAGGATGGAGACATGCAGGAGGCGATTAAAGGCTGGAGCATGCTTTATGTTTCTAAGGAGGTGCTGCCAAGAATGGCTTTCCATAGCACATGATTTCCCTCCCTCCCACAGCCTTTGAAAATATTACGCCATTTAAACCATTATCTTACAGGACTCCATGCCTTCCTCCTGGCTGCAAGGAGTAAGGAGCAATAGTTTAGGATCCCATAATGTGATGGCTGTGAAGTAGTAATGGGGATGAACTTGGAAATGGGGGAATAGGAAATATGAACTCCTGTATCAACTGAACTCAGACCTTTCTGGGTTCAGATCTGGCTTGCATTGGTTTTCTTCCTCTCCCATCTCCCTAACACTCAATACAATGCGATAGCAGTCTCCCAGATGCTAGGGAGCATAGGAAATATTTATTTATTTATTTTAAACTTTTATATGCTGTTACCACATGCTCGGCATCTATCTTCAGTGGCACATGGAAAGCTGCAACTACAGCCTTCTTAGGACCAGGAGGGTGGGACACGAGGACTGGAAAGAATTGTTGCCCATATCCTACCACAGCTGCCACTCTGACATTTCCAGATGCATCTAGATGATGGGAAGGGGCAGTGGGGCAGAGTTTGGAGGACTGTAGGTGGGTTGGAAAGTGAAGCTGCTTGTATCCCATTGTTTTTCCAATGACACAAGAAGCATCATGGTGTTTTCAAATTCAGAACTGGGCTTCGGGGTGGGATGTCCTATTGTCCTACTTTTTCAATTTAAAAAAAACATCCATTTCCTGTCCTCTCTCTGTCTCTCTGTCTCTCTGTCTCTCTTTGTCTTATTGATTTTTTTTTTGAGGGGGTGGGGGAAGTTGAGCTTCCAACTGAGTGGAAGAGAACGTTTCCATCAAGACCCTAAGCCATGTCATGTTATTTGAAAAGTTATAGCAATGAGGGGAAATATTTATTTATTTATTTATTAAAACATTTCCATGCCGCCCCATTCGCCGAAGCCTCGGGGTGGCTCACAACATAAAATTAAAATATAATACATACAACAAATTAACAATATAAAATAAGGCGCCCTGGCCAGATAAAATAAGCAAATAATATTAACAATTAAAATGACGTTTAAATAAACAGGTCTTCGCCTGGCGCCGAAAAACAAATAACGACGGCGCCAGGCGGACCTCTCTGGGGAGCGCATTCCATAGATTGGGCGCCACCGCAGAGAAAGCCCTCCTCTGAGTACCTACACTCCTAATTTCCTTCACGGAGGGTTCTCGGAGAAGGGCGTCTCCCGCAGATCTCAGGGGGCAGGCGGGCTTATATGGATGTAAGCGCTCCTTCAGGTAACCAGGACCCAAGCCGTTTAGGGCTTTATAGGTCATCACTAACACCTTGAATTGGGCCCGGACTTCAATGGGAAGCCAGTGAAGCTGACGGAGGACTGGAGTCATGTGAACATAACGCCCAGTCCCCGTCAGCAGCCTGGCAGCTCTATTTTGAACCAATTGAAGTATCCGGACCGTCTTCAAGGGTAGCCCCACATAGAGCGCGTTACAGAAGTCAAGACGGGAAGTCACCAACGCATGTGTCACTGTCGCAAGGCACTTGTTCTCCAGATAGGGGCGCATCTGATGAATCAGCCGAAGCTGAAGGAAAGTGCTCCTCGCCACTGCTGTCACCTGAGCTTCCAATGAAAGCTCCGGGTCGAGGAGCACTCCCAGGCTGCTTCAACACAGCTTACCTGTTTTCCATGGTTCAGTCTAGAGCAATGCTGTTTTGCCTTGGAAAAATGTTTCTGTCCTTACCCAACATTTTGCTATAATTTATTCCATTCAAAAAAACCACTATCAAGAAGTTCATGTGCTTTGAACACAAGTACGAGACCTGTTTTTCCTATCCTAGGATAGAGAAACTCTGTTACAATGGTGGACATTATAAAGGGGATGTAAGATAATTTTTAATCGGATGGACAAGAAAATATAATAACAAGGTGTGTGAAAGCAAAAATAAATTCTTCTGTTTCACCCAATCACAACATTTCCATTGAGCAACACAAAATTCTGCATGACTGAGAAGATTAAAAGAATAGTGGTGTAAAGAGAGATACTAATACAGCTTAGCCATGTATCTCTATAATAGCTTTTCAAATAAAAAGCTGGCAAAAGAATATTTTAAAGAATTAGATGTTTCTGCATTTCAACACACTAGAAAACAACATTTCCTTTTTGTGGTTCCTCTAAGATTCCTGTGCTATGGATGAGTCCAAATCTAACTCGAGCACTGTTTTAATTTTGGTGATGACTGGACTTCTGATAATATTTATTATTCTGCTGTGTGTTTGCAGCTTGCAAAGGTAAGTGCTGTGTTTTTTTTTAAACTGCTCCTTGTCAACTATTGATGAAGTGCTCATTATGATGATTGATAGGATATTGTGGAAATGAGTCCAATATGCACTCTGATGCTGGTGCATTGTAATTCTCCTGTTAGATCCTCACTGGTGTAGATGAGGCTACTCAGAAATCGCCCAAGGGTTGGACGGTATTGTTGGGATTGATCAGTTTACTTTGGGTTAATGCCAGTTTCCCATGTCTTCAATCATTTCTTGGTTTTAGAGTATTTATGTACTGTTTCTCCTTTTGAAAATCCCAAAATAACTTGCAACAAATTAATTATATTTTACCAATATTTTATCAGTTAATTGGTTTTATCTTTAATTTTATCATTATTTATAGAATGCAGTGTGTTGTGTGTCATTTGTTGAATGTGGTTGTTTTGTTTTTTGTTGCTTTTGTAAGCCATCCAGAGACTTTTAGCATCGGATGGCATATAAAAACTTTAAATAAATAAATAATAAAGCTATACGCCATTGTAAAAACACAGCATTTAGGTAAGATTTAGCTATTCTGTAAATTATAAAACCCTAACAGTACAGAATATATTAATTTAACTGTATATAATTTGTACACATTTTAAGCCAAGAACTGTGTCACATAGTCTGGAGAAGTACATAGTCTGAAGAAAAACTGCATTCTCATCTACTTATTCATCTTCAGAGTACAAGTTAGGTTGCTGATGAACTAAACTCCTTTCACATCTCTAGTGGAGGGCAAGTACTCAGATACAACAGTTTACTTTTCTCCACGACAGACATTCTGTATAAACTAATAAAAAACACCCAGGGGCTCCAAAAGTGTCCCAGATTACAGCAAGTTTGTGGTGAAATGCAGTATCCTCTGATTTGGCCTCCAATCAGAGCAGGTTGAAATCTGCATCAGATAATCCAATCCACCATGGTATTATCCAGATCTGAACAAACATCATGTTGCAATAGGCTGAGAAGGTGCCCATAGTTTCCATACAGGACAGAAAGCAGGCCTTTGGGTGCAGTGCTGAAGAAGACCCAAAGGAAGCCTTACAGCAATGACAGGCAACTTGCAGTGCTGCAGATGTTTTCACTTACAACTCCTGTTAGCCCTCAACATTAACTGTTTTGGCTAGAGTTGATGGGAGTTGTTGACCAACACATTTGAAGGACCACAAGTTGCCTGCCTCTGCCTTATGCCAATGGCAATCAGGCCTCAGTTAGAATGTTCACAGTCTATGTATTGCTGAGAACCAAAATGCTTATAAAAAGCCTTCTAGCCAATCAGTCAGTGGGGTGGCTTTCATTTGTTCACATGGGATAAAATCAAGGCACTGGATAGGAAATCATTTCAGACACTGCCCAGCTTTCATGGATAAAGACTCCAAAGGGGTGGGATGCAGTTGTCTGTACTTTGGAGAAATTCTGCTATTCTGCTTCTTTTAGGGCACAATCTCATGCACATTTAGACAGGGAAAAACCTACAGGTATCAGTATATTCCAGCCAGTGTGTCTGGTTGGAAAATTTTGGGAGCTGGAAGACATTTTTTCTGTCTAAGCATGCAGAGGATTGCACCATTAATTATGAAAATTTCATTAGTACAAAACATATTCCTACAGAAAAGCAGGGTCATGTGGTCAATTTGTGACAGGGATTCAAATATGTAGAGGAAAATTCCTCTTTCATAGCTGGCTGCTCAGGTCATGATAAGAGTGAGTACAACGATGCTGACTATAACAGCCTAGGTGCTCTCTAACCTGACTTTATACATAAGGAACCTGAATGGTTGCTTAACTGAAATCACTTAAAAATGACTAGTATCTTACATTAATCCCCCGCCCTTATGTGATTATGTTCTCTCTTATAAGCTGAAGGATGCCATTTCCTTCTTTATTTGCTACACATCATTCATTTTTTTGAAAATGTTCTCCTTTTTAATAAGAAAAATATTGTTGGAGAATGTATCTACTTCTGCTAGTAAAGGATAGATATTTCTGAAAATAGGCTACTTCCTTTTTATCATAGATGTTTATCCAAACATCATTATCATTATTATTTTTACAGAATTAGGAAGACCCTAATGCCTGTTATACCAGACCCCCAAAATATTTATTCTGTATTATTCAGTGATCACAATGGAAATTTCCAGGTAAGACATTAAAGATTTTCTTGAGATTTCTTTCAGAAAGGTTCTGATTTCTTTTCTTTTCTCCTGCATGCCCAAACCTATTTGATAAGCTGATTTCTCTGAAATATACATGCCTTATATGCTCAGCAACACATTTCCCATGATGTATATTAAACATAAGATTTTGATGTTGATGGGAAATCAAGAACAATGAATTCATCTTGTTGGGAAAAGAAACCATCAGTTTTCTAATAGTTTGATCTCTGTATTAGATAGGCCTTTTGTTTGCCATGCAGGATTGGGAGGATTCATTTCAACTGTTGCACCTAATTGAGCTATGAATCAGGAAGCCTGCTGATTCTGATCTTCTGCTTGCCATGGACTCACTAGATGGCCTTAGATACTCCAAGCTACCTGAGCCAACAGTGACAAATATAAATCTAGGAGTCCTCCCACTTCTTTCAAGGAAGTACAGCTGGATACAGAACAATCCACAGAGCCATTTTATTTATTTATTTATTTATTTAGAAAATTTCTATGCCGCCCCATTTGCCGAAGCCTCGGGGCAGCTCACAAAACATCAATTAAAATATAATACACTAAAAATATAAAATGAATTAACAATACAAAATAAGTCGCCCTGGCCAAAGAATAAAATAAGCAAATAATATTAGCAATTAAAATGATGTTTGAATAAAAAGGTCTTCCCCTGGCGCTGAAAAACAAATAACCATGGTGCCAGGCAGACCTCTCTTGCTGGGATTCAGTATGTAGCCTGCCTTAATAGAGATAGGACTGAAAAAAGCCACCTGACCCTCCAGGTAGCAGTGGAGCCACTGTAATGTTGTCTCAAACTTACATGCATGAACTTTAAACTGGTTTCTCACTTGTTCTGCCTTTCCTTACCCTGGGTCTGCAGACAGCATGGCCAATGGTCAGGGATGATGGGTACTGTAGCTCAACAACATATGAGGACCCAGCACTGCTAAAGCTGCACTAGCTGAACAAACCTAGTTGACAGAGCTACTGTTTTGAAATGCTAGTATCTACATTTTGACTTTCTGAAGGAATGGATTAACACAACAGGGAATTTGTTGGCTCACAAAATGCTGGAATGTGTAGAAGAATGTGTCGTTGAAGAGGGAGATGGCCTCCAAGTAATCAAGGCATAAGTCAAAGGTAATGTATCTTGAAGGCCAAGATGGATTGAAATGGGATTGGGCTAAGGAAACTATGATGTCTGCTTTCCAATTCCAAGCAATGTGTTTTCTTTGATGGCCTAAGCTAGTGAACAGTGCTCATATGCCATGCTTTAAAATTTCTTGATGTCAGTAAATCATGGGTGTTCTAACACTCAAAAAGGTGCAGAAAATGACAACCCACAAGTTCAAGAAGCTGGAATAGCTCTTCTTTGAGGAATGGTAAAATACTTGGGGTGTTTTACCTTAGAAAAAAGGATGGTAAAAAGACATAATCTATATAGAATTATGCATAACTTGAAAGAAAAACAATACAAATATATTTTCTTCATAATGCAAGTACCTTATTGTAAGGTATTGTAATATTTATTGTAAACCGTCCCAAGATGCTAGTGGAGGACGGGGTAGAAAAGCTTTTAATAAATACCTGGCGGGAGCCAAATGGAGGGGATTCGGAAAAGATAAAAGGTAGTACTTCTTCAGACAGTTAAACTATGGCATTTTCTACAACAAGATAGAGTGATAGCCACTGATTTGATCAGCTTCAAATGGGAATTAGACAAATTAATGGAGGAAAATGGCTACTAGTCTTGATAGATACCTTTTTTCTTTTGGTGTCAGAGGCAGGGTGCTTATGTATGCCAGTGGCTGCAGCACATGAGTGGGAAGGTGATACTGCATTTATGCTGTGTTCGTGGGTTCCCCGAAGTTACCTGGTGGCCCCTATCTGGATTAGATAAGGCCTTTTGTCTGATTCACCATGGCTCATTTAATGAGAACCAGATTAGTCATAAAACTGAAGTTGTCGGGCTTAATGAAAGAGTTTGAACCATGCAGTAAGTATTAAGAAAATATGCACATTGTTGGCATTAACCGGGGTCCTGCCAACAGCACCTGGCATTCTTAGGCAATTGCTAGATGCCCTGGCAGAGCACAGAGGGTTCTGCTTACTTCCCACTACCATCAGTCCCCAGCCAGCCTTGCAACTATCAGCTGGGCTCTTCACTGGTGCTGCAGCCACCAATACCACTTATAGGCCCTGGTGGCAGCATGTTTGGACAGGAGCCAACCTGCTGCTGAGCTTCAGTGCTCACCAGTCATCATCACCTTCTCACCCAAAATGCAATGTCCAATGAGGATGCCAAGGATTTCATTTCTGGAAATATGCAATGGCAGCAGTCTGGTACTAACTGGAGCTCAGTGTCCCTGGCTTCCATCAGCTGGGCAAGCATGTGCAGGGTGAGCGGGTAAATAGCCAGTAAGTGAAACACTCCTGGGGAGCCAAAGTGACAGTGGTACTTGATGGCAGACTTGATGGCAAGTCTGTACAGGGTTCCCATTGCAGCATTGTACTGAGGGTTCACTTAAGCTTGGTGCTGGCCCAGCAGTAAACATGAGATGGTAACAGTTGATGGAGGCTGTCTCCTGAACTTTCAATAAGTTATACTGGAAACATAGTCATGGTTCATACATATATCCAGATACAACACTGGAATAACATGATGAAGGAGCTGTGTGTACCTTCTTCCTCCACCAAGGCAGGCAGGCAGGCAGGCAGGCAATTGGTGAAATCAAATGTTCACATGGAAAGCTCAGCTAATATGTATAGTATTAGCACAAGAAGGAGAGGGTTTTTTGTTTTGTTTTTACAGTTCTTTATTATTATTATTATTATTATTATTATTATTATTATTTATTATTATTATTATAACATTTCTATGCCGCCCCTTGCCGAAGCCTCGGGGCGGGTTACAACACAATAAAATACATTGAAATACAATAGAACATAATAAATTGCCATTAAATACAAAAATACAAAAAATACATTGAGTTACAAACATAATAATATAAAATTAAATTTATCAGTATAAAATAAATAAATAAATAATATAGGAGGAGAGAAGAGAAGGAAGAAGAAGTTGCCCTGGCCAGATCATATATTTTAACAATTAAAATGATGTTTAAATAAAAAGGTCTTTACCTGGCGCCGAAACACCAGTAACGACGGTGCCAGGCGGACCTCTTTGGGGAGTGAATTCCATAGGTTGGGCGCCAC